CAGGATCAGTGTGATGGCATCTGCTGGAAGATCTGCAAAATTTCCTGACCTTGAATCTATGCAAGCTTTTGCTGTGCTTTAAACAGAAACTACTGCAGGCAACTTAGCCTGGTGCAAGCTGAGAAAAGATCTGGAAGCCAGGAAAATGTGAAGTCTACTAGTGTAACTGTGCACCCAAAGTAACAAGAGCTGGAGGCATGGCGGGTAAATAGCTAAATATGGGCTCAAAGCAAGCAGAATGCCTGCAGGTCATCCAAGAGCAACAAGGTTCTCTACAGGACACCTGCAGTATGCTACAGAGAGGCATGTGCAGATTGGGCAACATCCCATAGAGTATTTTAAAAAATGTGCATCAGCTGACCATCTTGTACTGCTAATAACTTAAGTGCAATTGGGGCATAGATAAACTAACTAAAACATACACGACAGAAATCAAAAAAAGAAACCATGATCCACTGTCTTAGCCACGGACTGCAACACATATAAAGGGGATGCACAGCTCAGATTCAAGCTGTTGGATGGAAACCACTCTGCCTTCTCTTCGGTCACCATAAACAATCACAATTTCTTCTAGCCCTAGGACAACCAAGCTTTGTAGATGTTAGTTCTTTCTACTTTCAGCTGATCTGCCTTATTTTCTCTAAAATGTATGCATTTTAAGTCTTTCTAGATGATTTCTTCTAAATATCTCGTGTTCTTATATCACTTGTTTTTAAACAAGTGATATAGCATTTACAAACATGAACAGCAGTGCTTTCAGCTCAGAAGTATCTCTTTTCACTTTATGCAATGTGAAAAAAGTCTGAAAGAGCTGCAACAATAATTTGTCACCTACATTCTAGTTCAATAGGGGAACAGATCATGGGAACATGAAACAGTAATGTAAATTTACAGGTAAATAGACTAAGCCACCACTATGCCTATTAAATGAAATCATAATTGCTTACTATTTCTTGCTTTATAGGAGCACAAAAAAAAGGAAAAAAAAAATCATTAAAAGTGTTTTGGATAAAGGAAGCAAGGAGTTACCAGAATGCAAACCAATTTTAGTTTTAACAGCAAAATATTTTCTCTTATGAGATTAGTGAGTTCCCCTAGAAGTAATCTTTATGAAAAAGTTGATACATATTTTTCACAAATAAGTAGAAAACTCTAGCACAACTTGAAAGGACACAAATTCTTTCTCATCTAGGAGAACTTAGAGGGTTGTTTTTAGTGGTTTTTTTTTTTTTTTTTTTTTAATCTAACAGTGCAATATATAGACCCTGCATCTGACCCGTTTGAATCCTTGGAACTGCCAACATTTTGTCAAACTTATTTCCACTACTGTGGTCACACACTCTTTATAGTCTCTCTTTTTTATGCTTTATAAGATCTGTTTAGAAAAAAGCATATTTATCTCATCTACATCTTCAGAATATAGCCTCCAGTTAAGGAGCAGACAAGAAGGACAATGTATTGTAAAAGAATAAGAAGCTCATTTCACATTAGTAATTAGCCTTTTTACATTAATTATTCAATTGCCTCATTCTACAGTTTCCCTGCTGTTCTTTTGTGCTTCCTTTCTCCTTGCTACGTGCTGCAGCTCACATTACCTCACTTTGATACTCCGTTCCCTTCCAAGGAAAGGCATGAGTCTAAAACATTTATTTTGTTTGCTAATAACCTGTCTGTGTAGACACTTTGGAACTGTAATGGCACTAGAAAAACAATTCCAAAGCCTTCAAAAGAACTGACAGACTAAAACAATCCTTATGAGCTAAGCAGAGCAACCTAGTACATATGAAGGATCATCTTATTTCAAGAACACAGCAAAACCCTCTCGTTTCTTAGGGAGAAGTTGAGAACTGAATTAGAGCAGATGAAGCATTCGAGTTTTGTCTTACGTTGTCTGACTTGACTGGAGATATCCTTAATCAAATACTGGCATCGACCATAGGAGCCAAACATTTAACTCCAAATACTGTGCTTCTTTGAAAAAATACTATCAGATCTGTTTTGGTGATGTGAAATGCCGTATATCATCTCACAGTAAATAAACAACTAATAAAGTTATTTACCCGCAACTATTGGTAAATCCATCCATATAGAATATATATAACACTGCAAGCACAAACTAGTTCTTCTTCTATACTAATCCGATAAAATTATGTGTATATATATTACTACTTATAATTACTTACAAGTATAATTATAATCTGATTACTATTTCAAGGCTGCAGTGCAAAAACACTGAGCCTGTTACCTGTCCTTCAAGTGCTGGACACTTGGATTTTCCAGCCTGATTTGTCTCCTTCAGTGAACAGTAACCACTCGGTAGTGCAGAGGGCTCATATTCATCCCATGCAGCTGCTGTGATAGGAACACTGTTCACCCCTGTGCCTGAATCCAGCCATGACAAAAAGCAGAGGACCGGCCACCCTGCAAACTGATGTGCTCTGCGTCACCGCGGAACAGGGGGAGCGGCGCGTGCTTCCCCACTCAGGCGTAGCAGGACGCCTCCAATCCATTTGCTAACACAACACTAGCTGACAAGAGCACAATTTGGCATCCAGACTTGTTCCGTATCTGTTCTTACTGCTAAAATTCCCAGCAAAGGTAACATTTTTTTTTTGAGAAATCCGTATGGAACAGGAGTGATAACTAAAACTGAGGATAACCTATTTGTTACTGGTTACCTTCATGATTTTGTATAGCACAAAAGCTGTCAACCTGTGTTGATGTGGGTCTATCCCACCAGTAGTCACAAGCCATCAAGTCTATGAATATTCTGAACTGTTGCCAGGACTGCACCAGCTCTTTCTCTCTGAAGACAGAGCAGACAGTAGACATTGTTCTGATAGCAAAAAACTAACAGGTACATTGCAAATGAGGACTTTTTATTTTAACTGCTCTTATTGCATTTAGGTGTTCTCCAACTCCTCTCCAGATGCTTCTGGAGCTCAAGATACTTTGGATACCAAGCTTTGCACAAAGCTATTAATTAGATGCCTCTTTCAATGCCTGTGGAAGAAAGTAGAAAAGCTCTCACAGAATTTAGAGGATTTTTTTTTTTTTTTACAAGATCATGTATCTTTTTCCCCATAAAGTACCTCTCAACAACAGTTCTGGAAGGGAGAAAAAATCCCAGACCCCCTGGGGCTCAATTTACACAGGCAGAGAATTATCTGTGCACTTTCTCAAACACAAGTAAAAGCTACATAATGATGAAGTAATGAATTGGAAAATAGATCATTAATATCAGAAAGGTTGTATTTCTGCTGGACAACACTTGCTTCATGTCTTCCTAAAATCCGTTTATTCAGTGATTGAGAGCTTTTTCTTCACGGGCAGCAGAAGAAAAAATGTCCTTTTCTATTCAAAGTAGCAAAGTATTGACTTTTAGATATTTTTCAAACCAAACCATTGCCATACTTGCTTCCCTCAGCAAACACTACATACAAGCTATATTTTACAAGCTGTGTCTCCAATAGTTCAGCTATAGCCACATACCCTGCGTTGTTGCTGTTGGCAAACTCGAGAGAAGACTCAAATGCTCAAAAATAGAAGACTTTTAGCAATATTTAGCCTTAAATCTTGTCACTTGACAATATCTGATTTGTAAAACCATTCTTACTATTTAAGCCTGCCAGAGTTTCTTCCTAGAGAAAAAAAAAAAAAAAAGCAGTTTCTTCTCGAAAACAATATTAGCCTTTGGAAATTAAACCTTGATCTCCTGACACCGACAACACGATATTGCTGAGCTGCAAATGGTCTTTTCTGGCTCCTCTGGCCTCAGACTCACTCAGCTTCTGCTTCTCAGCATTTTTCAGTCCATCCTTCAATTTGCCCTGACCAGCTCCCTCACAGTGTGGCACTCCTCAGCCAGGAGCTGCACTGCCACTTGACTTTTCCTAATTAAATACTTCTCAAGGAATCACACTACTGCAATTATATTTTAAAGGTACAACCTCCAGGGCAACTTCTTCATGTTTCTGCATCTGTGATGTCAGCCTCTGGACTCTCAATCTTAAAGCAAGTAGAGATCTGATAACATTACAGCAAATGCTTAGCAAATATCCATAGACTCACCACGCAGACAGAGTATATATAAATTCCTCATTTTGCCATATCGTATTGCAGTTGTTATGTATCTGAGAGATTCCAACAATATAATGTGGATAAACAACATCAACAATCATAAAATTTTGGTCTTAACTAAGCCTGGGAAAATATTTACAGTTCAGGTCTCCTGGGAAAACATTGACACTCTCCTACATTCTCAGTAGAAAATAAATAAAAGCAGAACATGATTACATGAGTGGAAATCTTACATACCTGAAGTTTCTTTCAAAGGAACAGCTTACACACCAGTGGGAATGGAAAAGAACTATCACATGCTAAAGGAGATTTCAAGCAAAAGAGAAAGGTTACAGGACAAAGGAAAACAGAGCAAACAAACAGAAATATTATCACCTGTTTCAGTCTCCAGAATCCTTTTTTTATAGCACAGAAAAAAAAAAAACTTATAGAAAGACAAAGTCTGTATTTTCATTGCCAAAAGGAATCCCACTGCCAATGACATATGTCTGCAGGAATCTGAACACTATGGTTGCCTGCTGATGTCTATGACAGAATTTGGCAAAATTCTTCAAAACATGGGGGAGACAGATAACTTTCTGTTTATTTGGCATGGCTTGAATAGAGTTTTGAAAGGAAAACTCCAGTTCAAAGAAAAGCTCTTCACCCTATATTAGTCATATTCTTCCTGCCTGACTTCTTATTTTACAGCAAGCAAATTTTTGGTTAAAATATTCCTGTAAAACCTTGGTGATATAAGTCACAAAATATGCTACTTAATCAGAATTAGGAAAATCATATGCTAATAATAAAAATGATGCAAAATTGTTGCTTTATGAGGCACCAGTAGACATTCCTTTCTTTGAGGAAAGACAGTAAAATTAACATTCTGAAAGTCTCCCCTCAGCTCTACTACATGAGAAATTCGAGAGCAGCATTACCGTGAAACCACGTAGCAACCCTATTGGAGTTCCTCTCAAAGCCAGCACGTCGAGGAAGCTGCTCTTCTTTGAACCAGTGAATAATGACCTCTCGGGAAAAGGGCCTAGAAGGACGCTCCCAAATTTTACTGTATTAAAAAGAAAATAATTACAAAATACAGTCATTTAAAGAACTAGCAGTGTGCGAAATCAAGGGACAATCTAAAAATAAATCTATATTATATAGTTTTATTTACAGTTACAAAACTTACAGTTACAAAATAAAGAATATTCATTGTAACATCTGTTTGGTATAGTTCTTTGAACAATTGTAACCTTAAAATATTTTCTAACATTCTTTAGAATTAAAAACAGAATATTCTGCTTTTCCATTTGCAATGGAACATTAAATATTTTCTGAAGCAGAGAATTATAATTGAAAAAGAATTTACCACAAAATATGCAATGGACATTTCAGTCAGGTTTCCTATTCCACCTCATTTTTATTGCAATTTACTAACTGACAAAGTGTGTTTTTCCTTAGGGCATACTCCTTTGCACTAGCAAGAAGTCCTGAACTGGAAGCAGCTATGTGCACCAAAACCACGAACGTGATAGAGGGTTTTGTTTGAACTGTCTTATACTGTTTGTGCATTCTCCATTTGTGAGTCTTCTTTATGGCTTCTACTACTTTATATTCATTGTAATTTATTTAGCTAGTAGCAAGCAAAATAGGCAGAAATGCACTTGGCTACCTCGGCTAAGAGTGAGTTTTGGTTACACAAGTTCATTTTACTGAAAACAGTAGTAAAATAGTTTTTAGAAGGGATTTGTCTATAGTTTGAAACCCCATTGGTTTCTGGGGCTTCAGGTTGTTAGTCCGAATTACCAGATTTTCACTACTGCTCTTCAGATGAATTAGACGAAGGCTTATGTGGTGTGTCCACCAGTGCTACAATTTCACTTCCATGTGATCATAGAATCATAGAATGCTTAAGGTCGGAAGGGACCTCTAGAGCTCATCTAGTCCAACCCCCTGCACATGCAGGGTCACCTAGAGCACGTGGCACAGGACTGCGTCCAAGCGGGTTTGGAAGATCTCCAGAGAAGGAGACTCCACAACCTCTCTGGGCAGCCTGTTCCAGGGCTCTGTCACCCTCACTGTTAAGAAATTTTTCCTTAAGTTCCTGTGGAACGGAAACTTAAGGAAAGTTAATGTGATGAGTCGTGCACATTCTTCACAGTGCCCAGTAGAGAAGCTGGCTACATATTTTTTGCTCCCCTACTCCACCTGCCATGGAGCTGCTGTTGCCGCACAATGTAACACAGAACTAAAACTAATATTTAAATATCAGGTCATAGGGAGCCAAATGACACTAAATTGATTTCTCAGATAATCAAGAACCCTCAAAACCCATCAATAGTCTGCGGTTAATGACAACAAGCTTTCCTTCAGAAATAAACAAAGGTAAAAAGATAGATCTTCATGGTGACATGCAAAGGCGTTCTTTCAGTTTCTGTCTTACTATAACTAAAACAGCAGTAATTCTGTTGGTATCAAGTAATGACAAGTAAGAAATCTATCTGAAAAATAAATGGCATTTTAGTTTACATCAAGAAAATAAAAAAGTGCTTAAACATTCTCATTTTAATCACAGTCAAAAACCATGACTGTGAGAATTCCAACACCTGAAGAACAACACATTGAAATGATAAGGCCTGGAGCGGGACCAATTCAGCAGAAATCTGTATTTCCAGTCACCCTTGTAATCAACAAACCTGGATGGAGCAGAAAGAGACAGCAAAGGGCTTGGACTGTCGCTCAGTTTTGCCTCCTGATCGTTATTCAGGCTCGTCCCCTTGAACAGATTGCTCAGACCAGCCACTCGTCCCTTCTGGATGGCTCGCAAGGATTGCCGCCGGTACTCGTCCCGCGCTCGGCGCGCTTGGTGCCGCCTTTCCTCATCCGCGGCCTTGGAGCGACGCACTGAGGGCAAGGAAGGGAAACGGAAGGGCAGGAAAGAAAAGGAGACTTTAGAAACACAGATGGCCGCTGGTGGAACAGTTTGTTATCTCTGTTCTCTTTATTGCTTGATATTAAGAACATTCAAACTACAGTGCACCATCGAACAGATGGAGAAGCGGATAAGCCTGTTTCTTATAGGCAGGCCTAGCTCTAGGAAAAAAACATACCAGACTCGAACCATCACCGAGCTGATCAGCACTGGCAATAACAGAGACTGGATGTAATATGGATAAGTAAACACCACTGAGCCCCTACATACTGCGATTAGATCTGACACTTGCTTTGGCCCTGTTAAGAGAGATTTTGCTTCAGGACATCTTTTCCACTGCAGGTGTCCCAGGTTTTATGTTTCAGAGGAAAATATGAACTGTTGCTTAATGTTAAACCTGGGTTTAGCAGAATTCATTGCAACTATGCATTTAACTGGAATTGCAGGAGTTATTTCATATACACATGAAATATATACAGATATCATAACATCTGTATAGCAGAAGATACTATCTTTAACCAGAAACTTTAATACGTGTGTTTTCAATCAGAAAAACTTTTTCCTAATCTCCAGTTGATCACAATGTCATTATCCAAGAAAATTCAGTTTGCAATAACTTTACTGCACCTTGCAAATATCTTGTCATGAAATTTAAATTCATTTACTAATAATGGAACCTAATCCAGAATTTCTTAACCATGAAGGTGACAGAGCCCTGGAACAGGCTGCCCAGAGAGGTTGTGGAGTCTCCTTCTCTGGAGATCTTCCAAACCCGCTTGGATGCAGTCCTGTGCCACGTGCTCTAGGTGTCCCTGCGTGTGCAGGGTGTTGGACCAGATGACCCTAGAGGTCCCTTCCAACCTTAAGCATTCTATGATTCTATAATTTCATCTGTGCTAGAGTGTCTAAAATAAAATCACAGAAGACTCCATTTTTAAAATCCCAATCTAAAAAAGGGTTGAGTAACAATAAGCAAATGAACAGCCATTAGAAAGAGCGAGCTGATGCTGTGGATGAGGTTCTAGTATATGAGATCCTCCAAAATTGGATACAGAAAAACAGAATGTGTACTGGAAGATTTAACACACACCTATCATTGGCGCTGACCATAGGTTTACGTAAGAAAAGCAAAGCTAATTTCAATAACCCCAAATAATGAGACTGCTGCCTTGGTCACAATGGATCAGGCATCTTTCACTAAAGGTTTTTCTTTTGAAAACTAATGTACTAAAATCCTGACTTCAAAATGTGATAACTTAAACACACCAGGAATAGTACTGCAAATATTTGTCATATATCAGCTCTTTTTTGGTGCCTCAAACCCTGTTTTGATGATTTTTTGAGACACAAATAACTTCAGGCAGTCAAATTATTCCAGTGCAAAACAAACCTTTAACATTCAGTGAAGCAAATATTTTAAAAAAGACAAGCTATTGCCTCCAGTAGCAATTATCAATCCTGCCATGACTATCCTGGCTCAGATCGTATCCAATTCATAATGCACACATGCTATTTCTCCCTCTACCGTGCTTGCACCTGTGAGCAGGAATACATGATATAGCACCAGACAGCGACATTTCATTAGGCTGTTTGCATGCCTGTGGTTTACTATCCTGAAGTAAAGCAATGAAAAGAAACGGATTTATCCAAATTGTTGAAAGGTTTAATGCAATAAAGAAATAAAACAAAACAAAATGCTCTAGACAAATGAGAGAATTAGGAAAAACCCTTGAGGTCTGCAGATATATAGTATTACAGGTAGTAAGGCATACAGAACTAAAAACCAACCAAGATACTGGAATAAATGCTAAATAGATGCTTCTAATGTATAGAAGTCGTAGAATTTCAGTTTCACTTACTAAACATTTACCCTTCGGTTTTAGCTTAATCCAATAACAAGTCTGTTACAGGCATGAGAAAATTGAGAAACCTTGTCCTACAGGTCGCTATTTTTAGTAGTAAGATTACCTCAGCCAAGTATGTTACTTCAGTGGGTCAAGAGTATTACTTTCAAGTTGCCCCTAATTTATCCCTTGCAAATGAGAAGCCAGACATGTAATATGCATATATGCTATTTATATGTCCATGTGTCTGTCTAAGTCTAGGAAAGCCTGCATGTCTTTGATACGCATATACATTTGTATATGAATACATTTATCTCTCATGTTATGAAGAATTCTTATTAAAGGTCAGTCACCTCAGTTAAAGAGGAATCACCTCATTGACCATAGGATGCCTAGGGTGTCTCAATCTAGTTTTCAATTGATAGAGGGCTTAGGACTCCTTATAGTTATTGCCAGAAACCCCTCTCTCCTCATGACTCGCTATCTTTAGGAGATGCCTACTTTAGCTCACACTGTCAATCAGTACTGCCACATTATCCCAATCTAACTTTCTTTCAAACCTCTCTGCTCAAGGGACTTCATATGAGGTAACAAATTGAAGTCCCTGTCATCTAAATAACCAGGTTTGGTGACTGGAAGTAGTAATGCAGATGAAGATTCATCCAGGCGTTGCTGTCAAGAATCTACAAAAGCTTTTCCACTGCACTCCAGGCAAGGTGCTGTGTGTCGTGGGGGCCATCTCCTGCACGCGTAGAGCCCACGCATTTGTATGTAGTGAGACAGCCACTCCTTCAAGTCTTGACATAAATTTAGAGATATTTCTCTAGCAGTTTTTTTGACAAAGGAATTTAGTGAATACTTACCTTTCTCTCTTTCCGTTTCTCAGTCTCTCATTTTTCTAGAAATAAAACTTGGATCAAATCTAGCACAAATATTCTAAGACCATATCTACCACTAACTCTGCACTTATTGTTATATCTCAGGATAGATTGTAGCCTTTCTCACAAAAGGAAAGCAGGAGTAGTTAGGGCTTCTAGTATTATGTGAAGTAGGAATGGATTATTATTCTTGACTAGCTGCCAGAAGATATCCTATTTTACAGGAAGTATACTTCTGCCACAATCCCTGTGCAAAGCATCAAATTTTGGTCAATACTACCAGTAGAGAGATTAGATAACTGCATATTATCCCTTTCCTTTAAATACATGAATCATCACAATAGGCCCATCTATCTAGCACCAAGAACTACTACAAATAATTTATGTTATCTTCATCTTCCTTTTGCATTAGGACAGAATATCAAGATTGTCAAGACTTGGAAATGATGAATGTGATTGATTTGAGTACTAAGCTTGTATAGGAAATTCAGAGTTCAGCCTGTTTTCATCAATCCATATCTATGACGAGTCTTTTATTCAAATATGAACTTACCAACCAGGGACACCCTTCTTCAGGTACAGTTAAGCACGTTTCTATCCAAAAGCACTGTAACTTGGGAAGAAATGCCTGGCCTAATTTAATTTATATGGATCATGTACAAGTGAGATTGTAGCTGCATTATTGCAGGCCTAAAAATGGGTTTAAAAACCTCCTGGAAAGGTGGTAAAAGCATCCAGACTGAGTCCTGGGCTGTCACAATTATACTGTCGTAATTACTAGAGAGGAATAGTTTTAAGCTAGCTTGTACATCTACAAGACCTATAATGTGAACATAGTATTAACAACTAAGAAGTTATATAATTTATGTATGTAGTTGTTCTGATCCTACATGTCTTAATTTCCTGGGCAGTTTGAGGCTCTACTATTTTTTCTATGCCTTGAGAAAGAGTGCAACTATGCCTTCTCTCTTTCCATTTAGGATGTGGAAATCTATCTGCAGTTCTAGCAGGGGTCTAATACCAAATCTTTTGACAGAGATGTGGATTAATGAATACTGTAGTGGGACTGAACTTGAGTGAGTCATATCATTTGTGGAAGATTAGGAGCTGCCATTTTCTGTAATCTATTTTGTGTTTTAGAAGTGCCGTGAGTTACAGTCAGAGCTGGGTGGATGCAGGAGAAAAGAAACACAAACATGCCCCATGAACATATGTCCTCATTTTTGAATGATTTTGCTTCAGCTTTACGCTTGTTAATAACTCTTGATCTGAAGTTTATTTATAAGCAATTGAAAATGACTAATATTACAGACATGATTAATAGACAAAATGATTAATAGACAAAATTCATGCTTCAAATTTTTTGAGTGCACATGCAAATCACATGGTGTTTTTCTGTTCTCTAAATGGAAAATAACTTCCCACAGATATTTTACAATATGACTCTAGTTCAGCAATCTTTTTATCTGAAAGCATCTGGATAATCCCATTCCTATTCAACAAGGCACTCAGACCTATTGAAGTCAATGAGCACATACTTAAGGTTAAACATTTCCTTACATAATGCATAGCTGAACTGGGGACTATTGACTTCAAATTTCAGCATTTCATCAAATGCTCCTGCCAGTAAACAAACTCACTTGAATTCCCACAGAAGACAGGTACCAAAAAAGCCCCTTAAATCCTGCAAAATTCAGATAAAAACAAATTCACAGGCACAGCTGTAGCAGAGTATAAATATAATATAAGAGAAGCTATAAGAGGTCAGCCTGGCATTCCATCTCCCAGAGACCAAGAATGGGTACTTAGGAAAACATGCAAGAATAGAGGAAGTCACTCAACTCTGCTTATATTTCTGGAACCAGGACTGTCTGGAGATGGTTTCTGAGTACTCCATTGCTTGATACAGTTTGCAGGGATTTGTGAGTGTACTAGCAGAATGCCTCTTGCAATATTCAAGCAGATGAGGTGTATTATGGTTTTTCCCATTAGGTTTTGCAAATCCCTTTTCTGTTCTCATACAAAGGAAGGAGGTCACACTTGGACACTGTGGCATTTGATGTGTTTACTGAGTACAAAAAGTGGAACAACTTGCAGAAAGGACAAAAACTAAGAAAAATACATACCCTCCTCTATCTAAATTTAGCCTTGGCTCACTTCTGAGGTTCACAAAATAACAGTTTGGAACAGCAGAATTTTTGAATCAATCTTTTCCTCTGGTCATCTTCTCATTTGCAAGCAAATATACTTGCACCATATATCAGCTCACTACTGTCCTCTATAATACCCTGTATGTATCTATTATGTGAAATCTAAGCATATAATTACTCTTCCAACCTCATTTTTTTCCTGATAGCACTGATTACTCATGTTACTCCGTGTTTGTCATTCAATATATTAAAAAGTACTAAAATTATGTATTAACACAGCAGTTCTAAGGGCTTTCATTGTTATTTGGCACAATCAGGCAAGACACAAAAGCAAGCTGAACTGAACAAAACAAACTAATATTAGCAACACTCTGCTTATTGCCTTGGCAAAAACCTGCTGAGGGAAAGCGTGATGAGGAGACGAATCCTCATCACATTTTAAATTCCATCTACTAAATAAATCAGTAGTGTCATCAATATCATTGCCACATGCGCTCTCCACAATAGCTACTCCAGCACTGCTGTTCCTCTTCAGCACTGACCCCAGCACTGTTGAATATGAAGGGCTGACTTCAAGGAGGGAAGACACAAAGAAGCCTGGCCTTGTTCTGAACATGCCATGTGGTTTTCATTGCAGTTGTGTAGAGACAAAGACATGTTAATATTACATCTGCTTGTGCCTCTCTTATGTATTCATGCATCTATCCACTGCTTGCAAAAACAAATGACAATTTGACAGCTCTGCCTATCTTCACTAAACTTCCTCTCAGTGGTCCAAAGGAATATTTGGAGACAAAATGAGAAAAGTACCATAAAAGGAGAAAAAGCAACTGCCTAGAACTGAATTCAATGTTAAAAATCTGGTGACCTAAGATGCTTGTTCATAGGAGTTTAAGATGTTCCCATTTCCAGTTATTTGTTACTTATGGTCTGTGGTAGTTCTGGCTTTTTCAGTTAACTTAGTTAACTGAAGCTGTGCACATTGCTCACGAAGTTTGATGTGAAGCCTGATGGCACAGTCTAAACCAGGGAGGAACTGGTCTGAGCTAAGGCATGAAACACTTCATCGTCATAGTAAATGTGTGTGACAATTTAAGATAACAGAAAACTACTCTCAGTCCTCAAACCAGCTGGGATAAATTGAGACATTGAGTTGAGCACCAGAGGATAAGCAATAACGTGACACACTCTACCTATTAGCCTGCATACAGTTTAATGCTAAATCAATTACTGATAACAGCATTAGCCCTGACAGCACAGAACTTGCAGCAGGCTGCAAAACCCAGCCGTGGCCCAGCCAGCTAGCAAGCGCTGCGCTCGTTTTGCCAGGGCAGCACTGTCCTGTGGCCAGGCTGGACAGCACCAGGTGACACGAGCGCCGCTCAGGCGCCCTTCCGCCGACGAGCGGACGTGTCTGCAGGGAGCGAAGCGCAGACCGCAGCGGGCAGAACACCGCACCAGAGCTCACAATTCCTTCCAAGCATATGCAGTTGTCCAAAAAACATGTGCCCAAGAAAAAATAATGGTTGTAGATGATACTTGTCAGAAGATGACGTAGCTGAAAATGTTTTGACAGACCAAGAATACCATTGCGGAAATCATGGTCAAGACCTTTCATATTTCATTGCTTTTCTGCCTCCTACCACAATGCTATTACTGCATTTTTCGTACCTGCCCTTTAAAATCACCTCTCCTTGAAAAAAATTGAGAGAATGGTTTTAAAAGCTCAGTTACATCTTCAATGTGTAAAATAAGTACAAAAAATGATAGCTATTTCTGGTATTTTTAATGATGTTTATGGAATTTCTATTACCAATTTCTGTAATGAACAGGATGGCTTTTTAATATAATGGTTACAAATGCACTCTCTTTCTTTAGTTACCTGCTGGAAAATGCTCAAGCACAACATGTGTGTGAAGTTGCCAATTGATGTTAATTTGAAAAGCCTCATTCTCTATAAGGGCTATTTTTTTCCACCAACCCACTCTAAACACCCAGACTACAGAAATCTACAGTTTTCCTTTCAGAATAAACAGATACACCTGGATTTAGGCAATTCTCCAGGGAATAATTACCTTCTCTTTACTGACAATGTAATATACAGAGGTTTTATTGATCAAAAAAGTGGATAGCCTGCTATTGGCTTGCAAAATGGCAAGTGTATTGTATTTGGATATAATTCATTTTGTACTGAATGATTCACTACTACGTCAATAGTAGGTAATAGGACTTGAATAATTAGTCTTCAGCAACTCCTGAAGTAATGACTAAAGTGATAAAATAAACTCATCACGTATCTTGAAACAACAGGAGTTTATATGAGTGATATTACTCTTGGTCACATCACCATAGAGAGGTAATTAAAATACAGATAAAGACAGATTTTACCTCTTCAGAGATGGCTAAAGACAAGCTGTTTGAGCAAGTGTGTCCAGATTTGTTATTGCTAAGCCAAAACATAACAGCTTCGGTTAGACAAAAAGTAATAAACTCAGTGACTGTCACTGCTGCTTGGAAAAATTTCTATAAAGTATCAGCATAGATTCTTACTCAGAAAAGTGGGTAAAATTGGTAAACTCATAGCAATTCCCAGTTATAAGAGTAGTTTCCTGCAAAATGATGTATCACTTTTCATTGTTTTGTGTAGACGATATCTGTGCCAACACCCCTTTCCACCCTATAGGTCATCTTTTATTTGCTTTTAGAAATATGCTAATACAGTGGAGGTGATTTTACTTACACTGTTCTTCCCACTCTTGGTCATCATCATTGTGTTGCCCGTGCTGCTGAGCTTGCTTGAGGCTCAAATACAGTTCTCTTGCTCGTATTTCCTCCTGCTGCCGTATTTGTTCTTCGCCTTTTTGTCTTTCCTCTTCCTCTCTTTTCTAAGAAAATGAAGTAAAACGGAGGTGATTAAAGTGGAAGAACAAGCCAAAAGTTAAGACATTGTTTCAGCTGTTTCCTCTCATAGAGCAGCTCTTTGACTTTGGACAAGTCACCATCTCTTCTGGCTTTGTGTTCTTTGCCTGCCCCAAATAGAAGTTCCCTATCTCTTTGGGAATTTCTGAGGAAGGTATTCCTTCCAATGTGAGATGCACAGGTACTAGAGGAATAATGGACACCTAAGTGTCTAAGGCCTGGAGTTTATAAGGAAAATGTATTCTATCTATGTGGTACCAGACCTGTAGTGGCTATTTAGCCATCACAGTCTGTAAGCAGCGCTCCTCTTTTCAGCCCAGGTGTTCCCTCCACTGGGGATGCTGCTTTCACTCCAACATCAGATGCATCTTAGTGAGCTCTGCAGCTCCTTTTGAACTGTTTTATCGTTTGAACTGCTTGGTTTAGCAACTGTCACCTATGTTTCATCATAGCCAGAGAATAATGTTTTCCATACATCAAGATCTTTGTGTTCGTTTGTCATGTCCTCAAATAAAATTATCCTAAACGACAAGCCTCATTATCTAACCTAAACTAACAAGTATCCAAAGTCCATAGTAGATGTGAGTCATTGTAAATGTTAATCCTAACACATTTCTAGGGTCAAGCAACTGACATGCAGGTGAATAAAATCAGGGGACATTGCCAGCTTAGTGGGAGATGTTCTTGTCTTCCTTAAATAGTTCCTTGCTTGTTAAAGGCCAAAGGTGGCATTTCAAAAGTTCTCTGCACTGTCGTAATGTTTCTCCTTTTAGAAGGGATTTTTATTTTTCACTGCAGAGGGACCAGCGTTAGCTCAGCACAGAGAAAAAACAACTGATTAGATTGGCAGACAATTTGCTCAAATGTACCAACATGTCCTATCAATCCACTGCACTGAGAATCATTTACTCAAATACATCAACTACAGACAGCGCACAAGTAATTTCTTTTTCTTAAGATGTGCTGTGATGTAAACCCTGAAAATTGGTTTCCGATGTGATTGCTCTTTCTTTCAAAAGGAGAATTAGAAATATTTAGTTTCCTTTTTATTGTATCATATTCATGCAACTCTGAACTTTGTGGAAAGGAATACTTTATAATTTTGAAAATAAATGTAACTTATTAGACATCTTTGTAATTTCCATGACAGCAGGATTCACAGCATTACCAAAGCAATCCACAATCTATCTTGCAATCTAGTGCTGCAAACGGTGGTTTTAAATGGTGGTTTAGTATTTTTAAAAATGCAACTGTTTTCTAGTATTTGGTATTTTCTAAAACTCAGTGAGTGGGCTCAGAAGGTCTGTAGGCTCTGGAGATCCACAACAAAACATATGGCAAAACTTGCCAAGCTTTTTGAATACCAATAACTAATCATGTAACTATTTTCAGGAACTATTTTTCATCACACTCAGATGTATCTGAGGTTCTGCTGTGCCAGGCTGGCATTCACCTGTGCAGGCAAAAATTATCTGTATCATGGAAAGAAAACCCTCAAGTCAAATTATGAAGCACCAAGGCAGACAAGAACACCACACACATTCGCCATTTGCATTCACAAAATTTCCAGAGCACTTCCATGCAAGACATAGCTTTACTATGAACTGACAGAAATCGAAGCACAATAACTGGTTACAGAGAGGGTTGCAGAATTTCCTGCTCCAGCACTGAGCTTTCCTGATACCACGGATAAACCTGCAAAAAGCAGCTCACATACACAATTCTACACAAGCAGATTCCTGTTCAGTGCTTGAAGGCACTACCTATAGGAACGCTCATGCTATGAAAGAGTATTTGTTATAACTTGGCCACCTGATCTTTGGCTGAAAAGTGCTGAATTACTCTAAACAGCATATTAATTCAGTAAAAGGAATGTATTGATTTATTAGCTGTTCTCCTTCAAGTGAATAGCTTCATTTTGTAATACATTGGAAAAGTATTCATCTGAAAGTTGTCTGTCCTATCTGAACACCTGCCTGGAGACAAATACCGAAAGCAACAACAATGTTGCAGTGTTGTTATTACAAAGGTCCAATGTAATATCACAAGTCTCCAAACAATGATTTTGTCATTTAGCATCCATTAGAGGAACTCGTATGCACATTTTCCCAGAGGAAAAACAGGTGTTTGGACGCGTGCCTGGGAAACAGAAGCAACTTGGTCTCCGCTATGGGAAAATAAAGGGCTTTTTAATTCTCTCCATCTCTGCAAAGGTTATTTGTCATTACCCTCTATCTTGCAACTAAAAAGATGACATTTTAAATTCTTTTCAGAACACGACTTTCCCCAAAACATTGCTGTACATCATTTGGGGCATGTAGTAATTCAAGGAGGGCCAGAGCTGCAGCAGCAATCGGGACAGTTTTGCTCTTCTCGTCATGGATCTCACAGTGTCATGTTTAAGGAAGAATGACAACTTTTATTAGCAGGAAAATGGAAATAACAGTTTAAATCTGAGTGGGGTAAACAAGGACAGATGCCTTGAGTTTCCTAGGGATGGTTTGCTTAGTAGCCATCAGCCAGCAGACACTACTCTATGTACTTTTGTCCACTGATATTTCAAAAAGATGGAGAAGAAGCAATTTACTAATTACAAGTAACCAGAGCGAGAAAGTGGAACAAATGCTCATCTCCACCCTATGCAAGAATTCAGCTGTTCCGTCATTTCTTTTAAGTAGCATAAATCAACATTTCTCCATTTAGCTCAGCTGAGTTCCACCAATTTACAACAGCTGAGGATCTGTCTCATTAATCAAACAAAATCAAAAGACCTGGAATATTGGATATTAATAATGATGTGCCTGTGTAGTGAATAATAGCTCCATATCACACATGATGAGCAATAAATTAGGCTGCTCTTATTATTTCTGAAAAACAAATGCGTAGCATTCTTCTTCAGTCATTTTTTTCACGTTTTAATGCCGGTATCCTTTGATTATTTCTAACATCATCCTCTCATTATCTCAAGTCCTAGAAAGATTGAGTGGACCACTCATTATATTTGAAATGTCAGTGCTTTTTGAAACCATTATTTTCAAAAACTGCAGACTTTTCATAATAATAAAAGCTTTACATTCTCTTTTTGCATATTTCATAAAGAGTTGGTAACTTGATACTTCAGTTGCTAGTAAATTACTATGTTCCAAGCAGCTTGGACAAAGAAATTAGCTATTCCTTATTCTTACAAGGAGAACATTGTCTTCTTCAGGCAATGAAGGCAAGCAGTGAAGTCAAAGGCAACTTCACTGCTTACAAATCAAATAAACCAGGGCCATCCCTTGATGGAAACAGGCAGGAATAGGGGTAATCCCCATTTATCAGAGTGTTTTCTTTCAACATAAACTTCTAGGGAAAGCTTAATATGCAAAAACAACCAAAAAACAACCAAAATACACTTTCTGACAACAGCTTCCTTGAATTACACAAGAGATGTGTCACAGGTTTGTTTTTCAAAACAGCTGTGGTTGAAGCACCTGTAGTAAAAAGACAGCAGTGTCTGAAAGCATAAATAGAACTCATGCAGAATTCTAGTTCTTAAAGGAATGCAGTAATGCCTGGGCAAATTGTCTTGTTAGTTTGTTTTGTTAGAGGGAACAAGGAACTTTAAATCAAAGACATAACTAAAAATAACTACAACTCCACACTGCTGTGATCTAAACTGAGCATTTTAATAGTGTTAACCTTTTTAAAAGAAAAAAATAAATTATATTTATTCAAATTAGTGCATGCATGTATGTACAAATACATTGGGCAACATTAAAAGCGGGAGCAAAAAAGGGGAGCTTGTACTTAAAAATGAATAATTGAATGTTCATTCAGTGAACTGAATGAAAGTTCTATATTTACTCTCCTAGAAAAATAGCAGCAACTAGCATATCTGCTTCTTCATATCAACCCAATCCTGCACATCAAAGTCAAAAGCAGAAAGCTATAGTAATTCTCAAATACCACCTTCTGTGTGACAGTTAAGAGAGATCGTACCATATGCCATGACCCTTTCAGGTCTTCCGGAATAATTTGGAAGGTGGCAATTCAGTACTTGGTTGCAAATTGCCAAGAAATACCAACCTGCTGTAACAAATTACACTGGCAGTTCAGTAGGCAGCAGTAATCCTCTCCAGCTTTAATTCCACTGGAGAATTCGAACATGCTAAATGATCTTATCTAGCCTCTGGCAGTTGAGCATTTACCACAGACTTGTTACTGTAAATGTCTCGCAATGTTTTCTAACTCTGCTATAGCCATTTCTAAATAATATTTAATCTTCACTATGGTTAGCTTCTAATGTTTCAGTCCAATACAGATGAGAGAATAGGTCAGCGCTCTGAATTTGCCAGAGATTTTAAAAAGGCAGCAGGGAAAGGCCAAAACGCATACTTCATTTTTTTCCAATAGAAAACAGAGCTTCTGGCTGCCATGGCTCCTTGGGGTCCTCTGCAGAGTCTTACAGGATGAGAGGCCACTGCTTGGGGCAAAACCTACACAACACATTTGTTACCAGACCCCTCTGAAAAGGACATCTGGATTCCCTTTACACCTCAGGCTGTCAGACATCTTGGTCTTTTGTCAGGCATTTTTGGTACCCATGAGAGATGATGCTGTGTCATATCTACTGTGAACCTCCTGAGATCCATCAGTGATCGCCTCCGAGCCAGGGTGGACATCACGCTGCGCATCAGAGCTGAGGACACAGCTCGTCTTGTGATTCAAGTCTCAGGACTCCCAGCTCTGAAAACGGGAATCTGGAAATCCCAGGGTCCTGGGCTCTCAGACAGCCTGTCCTTAGCAAGGCTCACACAGCAGGACAGACCTCAGTGATCAGCTTCGCCGCAAACCCATTTGACAGTTTCCAATAGAACTATGAGTGTGAAAATCCACAGAAATACTTCCAAGACCATTCCACCCCTTAAATACACACCTTTAAGCCCACCCTCACTCATCATCTCCCAGCTGAAATTAAAGGCCATAAAATTGCATCAAAAAAAAGTGGAAAGAAATTGCAATGCTCTGTCACACTCACGCTTATCAAGGGAATAAGGATTATTTCTCCTTAGCATTACTAGCATTAAAACTTCCACCAAATATTTTTGATGCATGAAGAACAATAATTCCTATAAATATTGTTATAAAGTTTTTGCTTAACATACACTTCAGTTTTCAAACAAGTTTTTTAAGAAACTTGCCTTACTGTCGACCGTGCTTATATAATTAAACTTAGCAGATACGTGAAGTTGTCATGCAGACAGTTCTTTACTATTAATATTTTCATGCTATAAGGCGAACACATCAAGTGAGAGCTGAGAAATTCTGTCTGTTATTTCTAATTGTATCTGAAGGATACCGCCCTGCCCTGGCGGACTGAGGCTCACACCTTTAATTTGCCCTAGCTCTGCACACTGTTTAAGACTCTTAATGACAGCAGGAAATGATGTCTATGATCCCAGAGCCTATGTGAATTAGCAAAAAGATGGGTGATAGTAATTGGCTCTCTTATTTATCCTTTGCAACAGATGCATAAAAGAATAGCTGTCCTTAAATTGCAAAAATAGAGCAGTCGACATTCATGTTCTAGCATCATAAAAATAAAAGGCATTTCTGCTTAAGCAATACCAGCAAATACAATACTTTTTCCAATAGCACAGGAAACAGATCATCATTCGCTCTGGTATGGGAGACATCATTTATCTAGCGCACACAGCCTTCAAGTCCCAATGATAGGTCAAGAGGAATAAGAGTAGTTTAAAAAGGAGCACCTGTGACATAATACAGTCAGAAATTAAACACATCAGCAGAATAGATACAGACTTTTAATTTCTGAATCGAAATGCTTCAAAAGAATGAAGCATAAGCAGAGACTGAGCTTTTCACTTCCCAATTTGAAGACTGCTTTATATATAGTCTGGCTGTCATTACAGAAGGATGATATATTTAATTTTTTAAACCTGTTTTTAAACCTGTTTTTAAACATATTTAATATTTTAAACCTGTTAAATTGGTCTTGCTGATCTGCATTTCATTCCACACCCTGAATCATTCATGAAAGGCACATATCTTCAAAATTTCAATGACTGCAGTCACACATGCGTAGATTCACCAATTCACCTTTTACCCTACATCTCTTTTTTTTTTTTTTTTTTGGTACATTTTTTATACTTGGAGGTAGATGCCAGAAGTCTAACTTTCCTATCTTTCTGTCCAGGTACCTTTCCACTCATTCAGCTTATAAATATTTCATGTACTTCTTCAATTACACTATAGAAATTATAAAAGGAGTAAAGGCAGGGGAAAGAAGGGGGCAGAAAAGCAAAGTCATGTGAGCCTTAAATAAACCAGCAGACAGCAAGGTTAACAACTCCTCTGTATTAGCCTTTGAGATTCACTTGTTGCTTTTAAGTAATTCTACAGAACTGTCTCTTGCAGACCAAGTAATAGATAAGCTTCTTCTCTGAGTAGCAAAGGTGGCACTCTAGTCTTGGGGACCAGTCCTGTATTTGGATCTGTGCTGGTGGCATCATTCTACATCTCTCCTAACAGAGCCCATAGATTCAACTGCAGACTTAGTGACAGAAACTCATTTAATTAGAGGATGTCCTTGAGGATGTCAACATAGTAAATGCTGCAGCACACTCAATAAAGGAATCATCTTTAAAAAATATTATTTGTGGACAATAAAAAATATAGTCCATCTATTTAAGTTTTTGTAAATGCTCTCTTCAAATGCTTGGTTTATAAGAAGTCGCAGAATAAAGTTTCTCTCCACTTCTTTTGTAAAGTAAAAATGGTGGCAACATTCTGAACGGGGCTACAGAAGAGCTGACCAAAGCTTAGTATTGGAAATTTAAAATAAAAACTGAGACAAATTCTCACCCTACTTAGAGCAATAGGAGTCTAGACCCTATCCCGCACACAAGAAGAGACCTCCTCGGTCCCAGATCAACAGTGGGAACAAGATTTCTGTTACTTTACCTTTTCATCAATAAAAAATTTGGACAGAATTTGATGCTATTCCTTTCAAATAGTACCTAAAACTGAATAACTAGACTTCCTTAACTGAAACAGCATTGATTGCTGGTGATTAAAAGTTTAAGTTAGTCACTCTGCTTTTTAAGATAGTCTTTTTGGGACAGAAGAGCAACAGTGAACTTGTGGACATTAAATTTACCTCACTGAGTGCAAATCAACTGCAAATCACTCAGAGATATGAGTGAACAGGCCTGTACTGGTCTTTGCTCAAGAGGACTTTGCTTTCCTGAGAGCAGAGGAAGGCGAGTTTAATTAGTCTACACATTATTCATATATTAATAAAACCACTTGACAGGTAGAGTTTCAATACTCACTGACATCAAATTTCAAAGGCTCTGTTCTCACCTATGAACTCGGAGTAATTGCGCAAAGGTAAATCAACAACTCTGGGCAGAAGAGGCTACAGGAACTGCCCTCGCTTTGTGCTGTCCCCGGCCCTCGCTCAAATTGTGGTCCCCCAGCACACAAGGTGACGAGCCACTTGCTGACTCTAGCTGACCACCAAACCCTCAATAATTGGCACTGTGGTTTCTCAGCTTGCTCCCGTCATGGAAGGACAAAGGATTTTCTCAGTGGTTCCCACAGCTTTAATCTCCAGCCCAGGAAGGCAGAACTGCAGCAACCCACCAGCCAGGGAGAGGGCACCTGGGGAAGCTGGATCTCCTCACCCTGGGCTCTGGGCCTTCTCCATGGAAAACCAGGGCACCTGGGGAACCTGGATCTCCTCACCCTGGGCTCTGGGCCTTCTCCATGGAAAACCAGTCACCCACCTTGCGCAGGGCCACAGCACGCCTACCAGGCTCGAGAGGCTCTGAAAACTTCTCTAAAGCACATTAAAACTACTATATCTTGCCTTATAAAGAGTAAATAATTTATCTTCATAAAGTAATATAGAAATGTAAAATGCTGAGGCCTTCCCTTCCCTTCCTCTTTTGTTTTCAAATTGTTCTTTTCAACAAGAGCAGGTAAAGAGATATTATTTCAAGTGAACATATTTGAACATCCTATAAGAACATAAATGTTACAATACTGTGAGCTCATGAAAAATTCATAAGCTGATAAAAATCAGGTAAATTAACTTCTAGCAAAGCCAACCAGACTTCCCTCATATGCTGAATAAGAGAAGAACCAATATATTTGGGGAAGTAGTGACAGAATTTTAAAATTAAATATGTGAACAGTTTATCAAAAATACACCAAATATATTCAAGTATACTCACCTAAAAAGACACAGTTCACAATCATACATTTTTCCTCTTAGCATGATTCATTCAGTACAGCTGACTGAACAATTCTGTTAATGTGTTAGCTGAATAACCAGTTTGATTGTCCTGACACTTTTGAATGAATTACACAATTTTTTCACATCATTCATATATTACAGGATTAAAATAATAATAATAATAATAATGATTATTAATAAACATGTCCCAAAGCTACAAGAACTTAGAATCTATAAAAACACTATTAGAAAACCTAAATACAATTATACGCATACCTTCAGTTCCTCCTGAATTTTTTCCTCCACCAATTTGGCTGCCTTCCGATCTTCTATTTCTACTTTCCATTTTTCTGCCACTATTCTGGCTTTTTCTTGAGCCATAGCATCTCGGAATTTTTTTGTAATTTCTGCCTCCTTTTGCCTCCTTCAGAAAAAGATTTGAAAATAAATAGAACTGTAGAAATTGACGCTTACTGGAAAAGTGAATCAATCTTTAGTCAATGCACAAGTACTGATCGTAACTAATAACATAAATTAATGGAAATATACAAAGAAACATACACAAAGATATGTACTTAACGAGTGAACCACCACAAATCACTACCACAAAAAAGGTTTGATGAAACTAGTCAGAAAGTAGATACCAATATTTTGGGGCAAATTATTTAATTAATAAATAACAAATAAAGTAATTAAAATAGCACTATTAACTAAAAATATCAGGGAAGTACATTTTAGACGTCTCTGAATCATACCCTATACTTTTTATTTCCTGCCTGCCCATTTCGCAAAGCATGACCTGGAATCTATTGTCTTTCAAGCACCAGCGAAAATGTCTGCTAAATTCTGGCAGTAGATTGTTTATTAGCCCTGACACAGGAGGAACACAGAACACAGGTTGAAGAGTTTAATCCCTGTTGAAATATGTAAACACTAAAAGTAGGCAGCATCTGACAGGAAAAGGAATAATAAACTGTCACTTAAACTGTCGCTTTTCAGTGCTGTACTACAAAAGGTAGTGCAGCAGGCAAGCAGCCTACTTCTCAGCTATGTCAAGCATCAAAACACTTCTGAATCTCTCCCAAATCTGTAGCTGGCCCTGCTCAAAACACCAGCATGGCAGCTTTTATAATCAGCTTCTGAACTGATGGGATAAAAATACAAACAACATTCAAAATAAAGCAATCGCAAAAAGGATTTTATGTACAAAATCCCGCATTGTGGGTATAGATACATAACAGAACAGGTATTGCTAATTTGGTCAGCTTAAACCCAGATTACTTCATTTTCATTTACTTACAAACTGGCCAAGAGTTTAGTAAAACTCCTGAAAAGAGTGTTTACTGCCTTTTTTTTGTGTGTGTGTATGTGTGTGTGTGTGTGTGTGCGCGCGTGTGTGCGTAGGAGGCTTTCTGATTTTTCATTTGTTGAAAAATGCGCAAAGCAAGTGAAGGCAAATGTTCACACAATATACTTACCCAGTTTACCCACCATTACCTGCCACCTTTCTACAAGGTCATGTCTCCCAATTTGCCAAGTGGACCCTGAATTCAGATTCTTAAATCCTCACCATAGTTCTTCTGCCTCCTTCTGTGCTTGTTGCCTGGCTCGCTCTGCTATTAGCTCCTCAGATATCTGCTCATAGGGCTTGTCACCTGGGGCTTCTCCCATAACCCACACCCAGACCTCACCATCCTTCCCATGTAGCCACTGCACATGTTTGCCATTACCTGCAACAAACACACACATGCACAAAGAGAAAAGCATTAGGTACTAGATCAAATTCTCACAGAAGTTCAGGTGTATTGGTTGGAAATTTGCAACATTAGAATCACTATGTCTGTAATTTGAAGTTCAGAGTAAAACAAGACAAAGAGTTAGAACTAAATCTTCATATATGATCAATCCACCAATGCAGTTTTAAACCAATTCAACCTGAGCACATGTGCCTTTATTAATTTTCTTTCTTTAGAAAGAAGAAATGAAGAAAAATCAAGAGAAATGTTTTCCCACATCCAAGCACCATTTCTATTTTACCTCAACACTTCCATCCAAAACTTCCTCTAAACTTGCATTAAGACTTCCCATAAAACTGGAGATAGGTTTTACTGTACAATCTGATCAAAAGAATGTGCAGTTTCTTAGCAAAGAATAATATTAAAAATGATGAGTGGACAGAAAAGAAATAAGAAGCTCAGGGAGAAAATATGTCACTGAAAATGTAATTTCTGCCACAAAAACTACCTTATAGCCTATAGAAAACAGGGTCACAGTGGTCAGTGTCAGGTATTTTAGGTTAACATTTACTGGACTTGCATTTAACTAAGCCAATTGCAAGAACTGAGCTGAGTTTACAGAAAAGTAATTTTCTTAATATTTCCCTATTCATATACTCACGTTGTCCACATTTCAAGCACAAAATAATTACCTGCAAGTGGTGAATATAACAGTTTGTGTTTTAAGCTGTCAGGCACTACATTTTCCTACAAAATCAGATATTTTGTCAAAGCCTTGTTCTCAAGTGAAATGATCTCAAAGAAGAGACAGGTCCTGACTAAATTTGAAATCTAGGTGAAAGAGGGGCAAGGAACCTCATTTTTCTTTTCAGAAGTTGGCTTCTGAGCCTATTCGCAAAGCTTAATACCAAATCAGGAAATAAAATCAAGTCTTTTGATTCCCAGTCTAGCACCTTGACCACAAAACTACTTTTATTTTCCTGGAGAGACTGTGTCAGGCTGCGAGTAATTACTATTAGGAAGTAGTGGACACCAAAATTAGTCCGGACGGAGGAGCTGAAGTAAATGTGTTCTAGAAACAAACTCCTTTAGCAGGAAAATGTACTGAATAATTTACCAAATCTTTTCCATCTCTACAGACCAATAATCTTCAGCTGTAGAGTTCTACCAGTAATTTATCAAAAAGAACTCTGCAATGGCAATGATGGCAATGTTAATTCTGCCAGATTCAATTCTCTTCTCCTGTAGCCCCTCCATGAGCCTTTCATGGAGTTCCCCCAAATCCTACCCTCTCACTCCTGCTTTGAGGTCTGCAAATTGTATCCTTCTCCTTGCACCAAGCAAGGAATGAACCACCCAAAACTCACAGCTCAAAAGGATCGCAGTGAAAATTTTCTTGTGCACCTATAGCTTCAAGTAACAGTAACGCAAAATTGCACATACAGATATACACACAATCAAAATTAATATCAATTCCAAAGAAAGCAAAAGATCATCTGGTGGTGCATGGCAAGGGGGAATCCTGCCTGTATTCAGTGCCAGAGCTAAGTCAAGCCTCAACTTTAAACAGCTCAAATTTCCTTGCTGTGACTAGCAATGGAAATTATACAATGGAAAAAAAAATAAAATCTAGGCCTGCCAGTCCTCTGTTGACCAGGACAGAGGAGAGCCAGCTTTCTGTTTACAACAGTTTTAGCTGACTCTTTTCCCCACACATGTTCCTAATCAGAAGTGGTTTAAAATAACAGTAAGAGCAGCATATGGAATACTGCTGGAGTCAGCCACCTTCCTCCAGGCTCATTCATCATTGCTTTAACAGCTAGACAATTCCCATTTGTTATCCATCTCCAGTGTTTGTAAGGGAGCTACTCCAAGCACCATTAGAGGCCTGATTTGGAGTCAAGCCTCCCAGTTGTGCTGTTATTTAGCCATGGTCTGCCTGCTTACTCCAGCCAAAACATCAGTGAGTGCTGATAGCCCCTGCCACCTTTGCATCACAGGGAATATTAGAGGCCGCTTCAAGTGCTAATTGACAAAAGTAAAAGATCACCGATTTGTGATTTATGATTTCAGAAACATGGAATGGCATTCAGTCACTCAGTTCGAGTTGGCTTACTTTCCACCCTCCCCAAAAAAATGCTATTTCCATAAATATTCTTGTTCTCTGAGGTTTGGCCTTCCCAACACAATTGCCTTACTTTGAGGCTACAGATTTCTACCACAGCAGTTGACTTTCCTTCCTCACTATCTGGGAAGCTCTGCAATCGTACACATATCCATTGACTCCTTCTTCAGAAAATACTCCTTTTCCTTTTTCTGCTCTGCACTAGAAGCTCCTGAAATTTATTCTGCATTTGAAATAGGCTGTATTAGCATTCACTACCATGACAACAAGCTGATCATCCTTTGTCATCCAGAGATAAACCATAGCTTCTGGGGGACTTCCTTTTCTTTTGGTTTTTGGATATCTGGTGTACGTTGGTCTAAACACGGGGTGCCTTGCATGAGATTTCATCTTTGATTTTCCAAAGGAATTATTTGTATGCCATCTTTAAAGTCAAAGCTTGGATTTTGATAGTCTGTGTGATGGAAGAGGTTCCAGTCAGACTTTCATTAGCTGCAGGACATGCACTGGCAGCACACTGATTAGGACAGAAATGAGGATGTTGTGAGTTTCACATAACTCTCAGTTATTAGGACTTACCCAGGACAAGTCTGCATATGCATTTTACTTAATATCTTTCATTTTATTATAAACACACGCACAATTTCACTTCTTTGTAAGGAGCACAACCTAGGAAATGTTCCTGTGAACATTTCAGAGACCATTAAAAGGGCAGGATGCAGTTTTCATAACATTAACTTCTATAACTCCATTAAAATTGATATAGAATAATTAGATGATGATGATATTCTTGTGGAAAGTATCCCAACCCACAATAAACTGAAGATTCACTATAATTAATTCTGTGGTCTGCCTCTGCTAATAGTCAGAGGACCATTAACCCACCTCCTCCAAGAATATATCCCCCAAAATATCACCAACTGCAAAACAATCCTGAAAACAAATCAACCGCAATAGGAAAAAAATCTAAACATCTCAAGCAGTCCTCCACATTTTAGTCACCCCCAATTTCAATTTATACACCATCTGATTTCAGCAGTGTGTTGTGCGCCTTTTTACTTAAAGGAGCATTTGCAGAGGGAGAAATTCAGTTGCATTAATGTATCAATAAGTGTTATGGTATCCCAGCATGCTGAAAAAAATCAGCCTTCATAGTTCTTCAGCTGCTTCCTGATCATATAATGAACTCAATCTTACATTTATGGAATTACAGTCTGTTACCATGGAAATAATTATGCTGCAATAAACCCTGCAGGATCAAATAAAAGAGTGACTGCAAGAGAAAAAACATTAAGGGAGGAAACAGTTATTCAAATAAGACTAATTAACAACTGTGGCAGATAACTGTACATAACACAAAGGTAAGTATGTTTGCATTGCCACACAGTACTTTCTCAAGGTGTGCAGACTGAAAACAAAGAGGTAAAAAAACAAGCACAAAAATAATGTGGCATTTATTTAGTGTCCATCTAACATGACCCAAGTATTTTCTTAGTTCTTTGGCCACGACAAACTGAAATTGTTATCAATTATATGATATTCCTACTTTCAACTGGGAAATAATACCCAGAATTTATTCTTAAATACAGTGTACTAAATTCATGACCTGCAGTCTGGAAGTTGTCTCTTGTCTGTCCACTTTAATTTCCCTTTCCCTGTAAAAGACTGCAGGTATGCATCAGATCAAAGTGCAAGGTTGTGAACTCATTCATCTCAGTGCCATTCATTTTTCCCTTATAAAAAAATGTTTTCTGCTTCCCAAGTCCAAGGGCTTTTCACAAAGAGTAAAAGCTATATTTGAGGCTTGGTTTCTCACACAGAGCTATCACAAAGCATCCATCTTTTACCCAGAAAGAACAAAAATGATTCTGCATGGCCCCTTTAGACAGATGGAAACTCAGGGAAAAGGATAAGGGCTCTCTGTCACAGAATGATACAGATAACTACAGATGATATCTACAGATCCTTCCTGCACCAGGCTCCCTAGGGCATGTTTGCACTTGCTTCTTTTATCTGGCACACAGGACCAACGAGGCAGGGAGAACTATACCATGACGAGGAGATATTCCAGCACCACAGCACCGGGATGGAAGTTGAAGGTTAACGAACCATCCTCAGTGCTTTGCTAAATCTTTTGCTCACTTGAGTTTTCCCATTTCTTCCAAATCCTGCTAGCAAGACCCAGTGCCTTTGTCTTTGAATGTTTGGGCTGTTTATGTGAAAATTGGCAAAACTGGCCAAGCAATATTGTCTTAACTTGACCAAATCCCATTCTGTCCCCAGCTGCAGTACCACTGTTTTCCATATCAAGTATTCCTGAACTTGTAAATAATCACAACCCGTATTAGGAGCAGAGGGTTTCCAGCTAGAAACCCCCTTCACCTTAGCAGCCCCATTAGCCTCAAGATGCCTCCAGAAGCAGCTGATCCCGGTGCCGGACAACGGGAGCACGGTGGAGCACACGCGTGTGAGGGAAACCTCGGGTGAGGCAAGGCCAGGTAGCCAGCAATCCTGCACTCCCGCTTTACTGCAGAGCACAGAGGTCTGCTGCAGGGCAGACTATGACACTAAAAAAATACAGACTTACGGTTAATCCTAGGAAGGCAGAGAAGTCCTCCTGGATTTGTTCCATCTGCTATGTATTTAGGTCATATGGTGGTTGGGGGGCTCTTTTTAGCCCCAGGTTCAGCGAAGTGAAAAGGCAGTTTGGAAGCTACTGCTGAAGCATACCTCGGTACACAGCTGCACAAAACATGAATTGGAGCAGCTGAGTTCTGGCCCCAAGGTATTTATAGTCCTAACAAAACTGCATAATATCACAGGCTGCTATATAGGTTGTGAAGCTTGCATTAAAATTTGCCAATTACTTCAAAATAGTTGGCTCAGCTTCCTAATAAAAATTATTAAAATCTTCCTAATGTTCTCTTGGCTACATTTTCAGACATATTTGAATTGGAAACAAAAGATGGATCTCTACAGAATTCAAGACCAAACTGAGACAGAAATTTTGCAGATACTCAATTATGACATTTTTGTTTTGACCCATTTGCAACAATACAGAGAAGAAGATAGTGAGTCATTGCAAGAACATAGATGGCACTGCAAAACCTTAGGCAAGCATTTCCAGGAGGCAGAGAGGTTTTGGTATAAATAAAACACAATTTTGGGGGGTTAAAAATATGTAGGCAATGAGTGGAAACATTGCCATTGCAGGTACATCCACCTACCTTTACATATCAATACTAATCTTTCCATGCAAATGATGCATCCTCCAGCTATTTATTTATGATAATCGAGATATTTTGTTAGCCTGCAAGTACCTTCACCTATTCTTTAACAATTTTCTAACATAAATGTTCTTTAGAGAAATCATTTGCTAGCCATACTATGATAAACCTACCTAATTTTCTCTCAGCTACACTTGTTAAGGGCAGGTGAAAAACTGTGCAACTGCTACAGGGAGTTCCTGCCTAGACTCCATGTGCAGTTCCCAAAGCATAAATGCCAGGATAAGCAGCAGCAGCTCAACATCATCCCACCTCCCACAACGCCATGCTACAGCTGCCTAATGCTCAATAGTTTTTGTGATCTTATTTTGGGTATTCTGACAGTTCTGGATGGTTTGCTAGAGTCAAAATCCAAACTGACAGCATCACTCACTCAGTTCAGCCCAGCCACACGGGTTAAAGGGTTCCTGCCCAATCAAATAAATACATTTTTTGACAAATTGCCAAGATGCCATTTTAAGCTTTCAGTCAACTCTGAGCAAATCCCAAAGGGATCTTGAAGTTTGAAGGAGACTTCCCTTAGTGATTCTAGCATGCTTGGAGAAGGCATCTTGGTATAACACAATAAAAAGTGGCCCCCGAAAGACCTGCCCAACGAGTCATTTGTAAATGACTTGGAGACAGACAGAACTAACTTCTAAGAGTTCTGTTCACTCCAGTACAAGTCAATCGTCATGATTTAATTAAAGCTGGGAAATACTTTCCAACCTTGAACAAATGCACTATGAACTGCAGTTTTGGGAGGACACAAAGTACTCAAGTACTACTAAGGCTTTCAGCCAAAAATATAGGATAGGAACAAACAACAAATGTCAGAAGAGCTTATTCAACATTTTCTATAACAAATTTTCCATTCTGAAAAAATGATGTTCATATCTTGTTCCCTTTTAGATATTGCTTTGTGCTTTTAAGACAACAATAATTTGAAAATTATTGAATAATAGAAAACACTTAATTTGGCTCAAACTAAAATTTTCTTTTTAGCACTGAATGATGCTAAAGCTGACACAAATTTCAATTTTGAACTTCCCTCAAGGTCAAAAAGAAACCCAGCAATACACATGTAAAAGCAAGCCCAATTTAGCAACTATTGAAAAGGCTGATACAATTAATTTTTTTTTAATGAAAAATGAAACTAAGAAAGTGTTACATACGCTTTTATTCTATTTGGCTGAAATTCTCATGTACTTAAAACTTAGTATTTAATGGTTTTGGCTTATTTTTGTTTTCTGAAAAGCAAACGTCACTGCATTTAATAGGACAGTCACTTCTATAAAATCAGGGCAATTGCCAACCTCAACAAAATAATACCAACCTAAAACTTGTGTTACAAAGTAGAGAATCAAAACGAACATGTTGCAGATGAAACTGCCCACAACCTTAAATCTCAAAGGAATAAAGAATATATAATTATGATTACTACCGGTTTCCTGGTAGCCATGATTTTGGACAAGAAAATACACCATATTCTGTGCTATAAAGCAGGAAGAAAACAGCCAGAAAGTTGTTTAATAAACCCGTGGAAAATACAGACTGTAAACAATTCCAACCACGTTCCCCAAAAAATTGACGCAAATTCCTTTTATGAAAATAATAATAATAATAAGGAAGGGCTGCTACAGTTATCCACTTTGACCCTTTGAATCATATGGACTACAGAATTTTGCACATTTTCCTGCATTATACCTATCATTTCTGGTTGACTTATAGAACATTTTCTCCACATGGAACTAGCTCCAAGGCGAAACCACATTACAGAACTGCATAACAGAAATCAGTCACATGCATCTATACAGTTTATGAGTAGCATGTCTAAAAGATGGAAGTTATCTTTTCTAACAATGGCCCATGTCAAACCATGGAAGTTAAAATATTTTCAGTAAAATCAAATGCCTAGCTTTCAAATTTAATTAAAATAGCTCTTCTTCCTAACGTGGAGAAAGGTGGAATCCTAAGGTGGATTCATGCTTTAATACATTTCTGAGGAAAGTAGGTTTTTTTTTTTTTTTTTTTTTTTTTTTAAAGTGGGCAAAAAGTCAGTCCTAAAGGGTACCTTAAATTGGTAATTTAAGGGAAAATGTTAAATGAAAATGGGCCATTGTGTAGTTTTACTCCCTGTGTATGTAGGAGCACTTACGCCAGAACAAAAAATCTAAAGGTTTTTCTGCCGCTCTTCTTTTTCTTTTTCTTTTTTTTTTTTTATGAATCAGAAAATTAATTACCCAGGAAATGGCTCCTCTATGGAGCAGGTTTAATGTATAATTTATATATGGAAATTTAGATGTCAACACCATGACAAATTGTCCCATAAATATTTTTGCGGTTAGATTTTTCTGCATCTGTCTTCCTCAAAGAATAAGCATAATCTAGATCTCAGCACTGTAACGTTGTTTTGGTATGTTAATTTGAACTGTATTTTTAATTTTTTTCTGTTACAAATCAATCAAAATAAACAAGGTTTTTGCACTGCATAAGAGCAGCAATATTGACTCCATCCTTCTTAGGAGAGAGCCATTCAAAGTAAAAACACCACCATGAAGAAAACAGAAATTAAACAGGATCAGGTTTTCTACTTCTGCATTGTCATCTGTTAGGGCACAGTTTCAACTTCTATTACTGCTGAACAACTACTTTGCCCTAAACTTTCCCTTTATTTCAAGGCTACTACTGTAGCTTAAACTAGAGCCATTTCACAACAGTTCTTACTCCAAGCAAGTCTCAAAGGCTAGTTTTATTCGAAGGACATGGTTATTCAATCCTAGTCCTTGAATTGCTAACTACCTAACAGAGTATACTTGGCACTTGGCAAGACTCACAGGCTCGAAACTTCTGCAGAAGTCCGGCAGTCCTCAGTTGAATCCAGAAGCCCATGTTTACTGGGGTGCTCCAAGCAAACCCTTTTATTGTGACTGTGCTTTAATATGAGCAATGCTATATATTTTGATATCAGAATAAAAAGGCTGTTGGGGCACTTTCTCAAAATCAGTTACTCAAAATTATCAGTCATTTCTAATTTTCAGACCTGACTGGATTTAAAGTTAGGATAAGATCGTTGGTATTTCATATGGAAAGGACTCAGATATTTGCAACATCTCATTGCTGAGTGTGGAATCATTGTAACTATATAGCCGTGATAAAACGATTTCCTATCCTGCATCAGCCTAACAGCTTCAGCACATAGAAGCCACTTACTAAGAGGTGAAGGTAAGCAAGAAAATAAATATTCCTGTTTAGTCAAAGCCACTAGGACCCAAAACCAGAAGCTTAGTGAAAATTGGAGAAGTTCTTTGATACTTTTTTTCTACAATTTTGTTTGTTTGCTGTTTAGGCACACACATACATTTAGTTTCCCTAACATCCTGTGAAAGGAATTCCATAATTGTTTTTACTACATGTTGCCTGAAAATCCAGCTCATTCTGTTTGTTTTTACATGCCTGTCCTATTCTTATCTAATTCCCTAGACATGCTCTTTTGTGGCACACATAGTACAACAGCTGGACAAATGTCCAGCTGTTTAGTCTCATATCGTGCAGCTGTTCTTATGCATGTCTTACAATGAGCCCTTCACAACAAGCCAAATTTCATGATCACACAGAAAAGCAGTGACAGAATCAGGAAATAAAACTAGATAACCTGAAGTTCATCTCCTGCTCTAGCCACTTGGAAACATTTCCACATTAAATACTTCCCCAGATAAAGTTTTGGAGAGATGAGGAGCAGGAACATAATATTTTCGCTGCCTCAGACTCCTTTGCCTGTGGGGACAGTTCCCTCTTGCAGATGCACGTTGCATCACAGTCAGTTGCACGCTCATCTCCCCAGTTAAGGATGGAAGGAGAGCCCCAAGCTTACTTTGTTTGCACCTCGCTGTCTTTCGCACCATGGTCTCTTCCATTCGTGCTTTCTCTTCCCTCTCCTTCCAGCGCCTCAGCTGCTCTTCTCTCATTTTGTAAAACAAGATCTGCTTTTGCTCTTCATTCAGTTCCGCCAGGAGCTCTGGGTCAATGTACATATCACGCAAAATTTGCTGCAGCATGGTAACTCCAAAACAGAGACGAACCCACTCTCACCTGGGCTTGCTATAGTGACAAAATCCCACCTAGAGCACCCCACCAAGCACCCTGCAAAGGAGCTCTCCCACACCTGCCTGCCCAGGAGAGCTTGGATTCTTCTGTCTGTCTGTCTCTCTCCTCACAGGCATTGCCTGCTCCTCTTCTCTTACACTGACAGAGTTCTCTGCTTATCTCATCCACCAAAGGTAGCAGCAACAGGTGTCAAGTGAAAGGAGGCGGGGAGGAAAGGGGAAGGATAAAGGGGAAAAAAAAAAAAAGCCAAGAAGGGAAGGAGAAAAGATAGGTCACTTCACTCTCCCTGACTGTAAGTAGCTAAAAATAGGGAATTCTTGACAGAACCCATCATCTTTGCTCCCTTTACTAGAAGGAAATACAATGCAAAGAAAGTGTCAGACTTTTTGCTGAAACGATTCCCCTTCAGAGCTAACGCACTCCCAAGGGTGTAAGAGTTGTCCTGGGGTTTGCAGTGATGTCATGGTTAAAAGTATCATCTATACCAACAATATCTATGTCACTTTGGGAACCGATCTCTTCCGACAAAGAGGAGAAAGTCATCTGCAGTGAAAGAGGCAGAAAGTAGTTTCCCAATCTAATCTATTAACTAGTTTCAACTGGGTAGGTCGTATCAGAGGTCATACTTAGTACTTAAAAATACGGTCATTCAGCAAACCAATTAAGATGCCTTTAAAATTAAAAGCAGACACAACAAAAACCCTCAAGAATCTCATTATCACTTTATAAATAGTAAATTAATATTAATTAAACAAGAGTCTGTTCTCAGCAGTTCATGTGGACCATAAGTCCTGCTGTTAATTCATTTTCCACAGATTTAGTGTTGCTCTTCAAGCAAATTGTGACCTTTCATTACTTAATAGAGTTTTACTGAACTCAGTAAAATAGTAGTATTTCACCACCAGAGCCAACCAACACTTAATTATGTGGGAAAAAAACACCTGCTGGATTCCAGAGCCAGCTTTCTCTCGGCCTGTGCCCAGCTTCTCAAGGAAAAAGCGACATTTTGTGGGAAAGAGGCCATCTTCTGAGGACAATAGAGATGTGGCCACTCCGAGCCTTAAGAAAACACACAATACATTTGCAAGCTGAGCTGCATCCCACTGTGTGATGTTTATACAACTTACCTTTTCTACACTCATTCCTGGCATTGGGAGGTGGGGTTGACTGTTTATGGAGAAAGCACACAGTGTGATACAGGAATCAGAGGGCCACCTCCAAGCTCTTGAAAGCAAGATTACAGGAGGGCAGCAGAGAAGAATGAAAAAGTGGAGTCATCCTCTCTCCCATCCTTTCTAGCCAATAATTTTCAGGAAAAGGAAAGAGATCTCACTTGTGATATCTATAATAGCACAAATTTTTCCATCACAGAATAGGAACACAGATGGTCCATCCATCATCCACCTAGATCATTTTTCACATAAGGTATTGCAATTTACTGCTAATATACTCATCCTCATCCTTCACCAGCCACACTACCTTAACCATGACCATATGACAGGTGAGATGTCTGTTTACTTAATGGACTAGTATTGTACAACTAGCACAATATTGTTTCTTCCTGCTGCATGCCTACATTGAGAGCAGAAATGAAAAATTCTAAAGCTGAAAGAAAAGTTGTACCCATAACTAACCTTTAAGTGACAATATTTAGGGCAATGGTATATAATCTAAAACAGTACATTTTTACTGCAGATAAGAAATGTCAGGGCAGGTAACGTACATCTGCCTTCATAGACTTCTGTCCCCAGGCTCACCCCAGCTCCTGAGCAGACACACACAAGTCCAGGACCCTTCTCCAAGGCAACTGGGTACTCTCCTTCCTCTAGGAAAAGGATGGAAGAGGGCAACACAAACATACAGATCTGAAGAGCAGACCTAATTAACCACATTTAACCAGTAGGCAACAGATTTCTTCCACTACTAGTTCATGCAGTTAATTCCCCAGCTAAGGTGCTGGCAGCCTATGCCACAAAGCCGAGTATCAGTCCCATGTGATTGAATAATATGAATGTTACAGTTAAAGTTAAATGAAATAATGATCATAGTAATAATAGCAGCTCTACATCACCTCCACCCAATCCAAGAAGGCTCAGGCTTAGTTAACATTAATTCTGAAGTCTGACAAAACCGTGAAAGTAGGAATTGTCAGACATATTTTGTGCATCAGCCCCATACAGACCATTTGCATGCTTGTTATGACACCATTCTACTATCGCATTATAAGGCTTTTCCACAGAATAAACCTGCTTTAAAGACCTGTATCTGTCAAATTCTTCTACAACTTCCATGATCTTCATATTCAAAAACATATCAAAATAAGGCATCTCTTCCG